AACAGTTATAAATAGTGGGATTAGTTAGTTAGACCCGTGGGTTCGATTGAAAATCAATTTGGGCCTATTGGGCCTTTACTAGGCCGGTTTGGATTTTTGCTTTCCCGTTTCTCGGTTGGGAGAATATTAATTACTAATGGTAAAACCAAACTTGTTATGGATTGGTTTAGATTAGGTTCATATATATTCAATTTTTAGTCCAATTAATTTGTTTTTACTCAAAGAAATATAATTATAGACTCAACTTTAAAAAAAAAAAGATCCACATCCATATTCGGTTTTAAAAATGTAAATTTTTATTGTCGATCAAATAAAGATTTACTCGGTATTTCGGTTTGGATTACCATAAATTGAATACCATCCAAATGCCATCAATTTCTTTACAAAAAATTTCAAGTTTGTATACACTCTTGAATGAAACCTATGAATGATCAAAACAATTGTTTCACGCGAAAAAACCAGTAACATCCTAAAATGAAATCTTAACCGAAGGAGTTAACCTCTATTAAGATTGTGTGATGCATGTAATTATTTCACACAAAAGTAAAATAAAACACAATTTCTCTTCTCAAAGAAGAAAAATCCCGATGTTGGTATGCAGGGTCGTGCCTTAGGCATAAAAAGTTAGGCAATTGCCTAGAGCCCCATTTGACATCAATAATTTTAGGGCCCCAAGTTTTATATAATTAGTAGTTCAATTGGTACATTTTGTATATATGTTTTTCATTCTAGTTTTGATTTTGGTAATGATATTCTATAAATTGATTTGGATTAATTTGTATCATATCAGTATTTCATATTTTAGATACTCAAATCATTATAAGTTTCACATTTTTTTTTTCAGATTTTTTAACTCATTTGATATTATATTTTGGCATATTGTATATATTTATATATGTCTAACTTTATAGTTACAATTAAGATATATTAATTAATTGTAACTAATTAGATAACGAAGTCCATGATATATGTACCCATACGTCATGACACCACATCTTTGTAGTCAATCATTGGATAATAACTAAACAAATTCTTCTCATTGTGCTACTGTTAAGGAAAAAACCTAAAGAACTCTTTTCTTTTTAGGTCAAATTTTAATATTTTTCTCAAACAAATTGGTTTTTGTATATATTTTATTTGCGTAGAAGTTTTTTTATAGTAATGCAACACATGTAAGATTATAAACGTTTTGCTTTCTTTCTGATACATCACTTGTCAATCACATTCCAATCCATATAATTCGTATGATAATATTAGCAAGACAATAAAACAGTGGCCGTGAAACTAGAAGTGGTGATCATCCAAAACGTTGAATTACCTTTACCTTCCTAAACACTAATTTTTATAACACCACTCGAATTTCTGCACTTGTGTACAACTACACAATTATGCAAAAGTAAGCAATGAACAAGCTGTAAATTTTTGAAGCATGGAAACAATCGCATAAACTTATAAGTTGCTTGGCTTGATCTCGAGTGAGAGCCTCAGCCTCTAAATCTTTAGTGCTGTTGGATTTTTCAAAGAAAGTTTGGATGGAATAGGTTGACTTAGCAACCTCGATGAACTCCTCCGAGTTGAGGCCCCCATGTGTAACAAATTTCGGACTTATGGATTCACTCTCTTCCTTGGTTATCAAGATACGAAACTCCCTGAACGTTGCCTTCAGTTTGGAGTGTTTCACTCGATGGTCCTTCAGTGAGGGATTCCGTCGAGAGTCGAAAAACCAAGCTAAATTATTCTTATACTCGTCTCGGTTCGGGTCCGGGAACACCTTCATGGCAATATCGGGTTGGGCCATTGTGAAGCAAAAGACAGAGGGGTGAAAACAAGGAAAAGGCTGTTGATCGATGTTGATGAAAACACCGAACTTGAAGGTATATATTTATAGTGTACTAGATGAACACCCGCATATACACACGGGTTTTTCTTCTTCTAAACTATATTTTAAAATCTCCAAATTAGTGTCATTTAATATCAGTCATCTAATCGCTTTTCAAAAAGGAGTAACCGACATTCTCTGCAAGTTTCTCCAGGAGCGCTTCCATGTAACTTCTCAGGGAAATAAGAGTTCCACACTTTGAACCGGTTCTCGATACTTGAATGTAATTCATTAACCACTGTTTTCATGGAATTTAGAAGAACCCCAAGCTGAAACATGTTTTAAGAAAATTTCTCTCACAAATATTTCTAAAGGAAACCATGTAAATTTTAAGAGAACAGTAAACATACCTCTGTTGGAACAGAGTAGAGGTCATATGTGTCTTTTTTGGTCAATCTTTGAACGTATTTCAGGGGAATTATCTTGTTTTCCTTTAACGGAGATAGAACTTCAGAGAACTGCTTCTCCAACGCTTCAACTATTGCCCTCTCCTCATCCGCTACAACCTTTTTCCGTACAGCAAAAGCAATACACTTATAAGTTAGCCTTCTGAGCCATGAAATATGGGTCCTAGTTCATCTCCCATGTAAGAAGGATAGACATCACCAAGCCTAATGCAACTTCTTTGATGATCTTCATGTGATTGTGAACTGAAAGAATTTGCTTTGTATGTAACTTACCTTCAAAGATGCTGCATATTGCATGATGATGATATCAGAATCATCAAGTGTCGCGTTGAGTAACTCATACATACCATCGACAAATGGAGAGGTCAGGCCTTGAATCTCACTATACGCCTTAATTAACAATCAAATTATTTTCATTTGCATTATAGTGTCACCATTATAGAGATCATGATATTAGTGGGCCTTAGCTGGGCTAATTTGTACCCTCTGTGTTTTGTACTCCTTGGTGGGCCAATATTGACTTTGCCGCAAAACAAAAAAAATATTTTTCTTTTATCTTCAATGAAAATTTACCCGGATTATACTTCGGTGTTACTTCGAGTTCATATTTCAATCAAATATATATCTTTCGAATTGCATATTTTTTTTTAATTCATTCAGTTCTAATAGAAATTAATCTCGATTTTGGTATATTGAGACTATTTGATTGGAATGACGACAAATGGACCAATGTGATGTGATTTTTCGGTCGTATACTCCTTTCTATCAACGGATCACATAGTGAAAACGTTCCGGTCTATACAAGAATTCTCAAAATAGTGGCTTTTTACAGGCCAAAACACCGAGGAAAGATCTTGTCAAGTTGTCATGGAGCTTGTGTAGTCACAATCATCTATGCCAAACATACTGGATTGGCATACTTCTCATTATCGGTTTTGCTTTCCCGTTTTTCGGTTAAGAGAATATTAATTACTAATGTAAAACCAAACCTATTATGGATTGGTTAGATTATGTTCATATATATTCAATTTTAGTCCAATTAATTTGTTAAGAAATATAATTACAGGCTCAACTTAAAAAAAAAAAAAAAAGATCCACATCCATATTCGGTTTTGAAAATGTAAATTTATTGTCGATCAAATTAAGATTTACTTGGTATTTCGGTTTGGATTACCATAAATTGAATACCATCCAAATGCCATCAATTTTTTTAAAAAAATTTCAAGTTTGTATACACTCTTGAATGAAACCTATGAATATGAATGATCAAAACAATTGCTTCACGCAAAAAAACCAGTAATATCCTAAACGAAATCTGAACCGTAGAAGTAAGAAGATTAAACTCTGTCTAGTAACGGGATTTTAAAACCAAACCGGCCTCTACCGATTCACACATTCCACTTAACATTCTTCATCACCTCCAACGCCTTAACCATCTCGACTCTCGCCGTCTCCGTCGTGGCATTTGCTTCTTTCACCATTTCCGCGGCCTTCTCCGCCTTGTCCCTCGCATTCGCCGCACTGTTCTCTATACTTGTCACGAAAGTTATAACTTCCTGCCACGAATCATCTGGCCCCAAAGTGTCCAAATTCAGCATCCCAAAGGTGTCCAACACTCCCATTATTAATTCAACATTAGCCACCATTTTTGCCGAATCAGCCGCCATTGCCTCCGCTTCCTTCACTATAACAGCCGCGTTTTCCACCATCGTTTTAACCTCCTTCACCATTACTACACAACAGAGTTTGGTTTATGGTGTCAAACCGGATCCGGCTTAGTCCTTTAACAAACAATGACAAAAACAGAGAGAGTCATTACTCATTTACCTTTGGCTTTCTCACGTACTCGAGCTATCTTTGTCTTGATCTCCACGGCTGTGTTGAAAACCCCTAGAGTTGGCTGATTACACACGAAACATGTATTGTTCTCCTTCTCGTGCTGCATCATGAAAACAACAATGAAGCTCTGTTTTGACATTGTTGACGAAACTCGAAAAGGGAAAGAATCATACTCTACACACCTTTAGAGCACAGTGGTGACAAAAGTAATGATTGCATTTTGTGACAATAGGATCCAAGAATGGATTTTTGCAAATGGGACATTCCAAAGGCAATGCATCTTCTTCCTCTGTTCGCTCAAATTCAGTCTTCTTCGCTAATTTGGAGCTTTGGTTATCTTCGTCTCCCTCAAGCGCTCGTTTCTTTGGGTTTTGAGACGTTTCACCTTCTCCAGACTTGGATTCTTGCACAAACGTTTTATCTTCACCAGAATCTGACATTCTTGATCTGATTAACGAATGAATAAAGAGCATCATGATTAATTTCTCTAAATCAAACATCTACCGATTCTAATTACGATCAGATTTACGAAATTTCACAACTTTAAAGATCTGATTACTGAATTCTTCTCAAAACTAAACCCAAGAAAACGTCATTTTATATACATATATGAGCATACATTCCAGTGAAAGAGACGAAGAACATACACAAGAATTGGAAATATATAATCGAAAACCCATAAAACATTGTTTCTAAAGCTATAACCTGAAACGATCAAAACTACTAGAAGAAGCTAAGCAACGTAAAAAATCAACCTTTGATTGAATATGGCGGGAAAATCCACGACTTCGG